ATTCTCCCTTTTCGGGTGAAAACAGCTGAGCTTTCGTCCATCATATGATGGACATCATTAGAGTTGGGACTCATTCTCGTAAAATTCTCAAGTCAACACTGAGACAAGAATACTATCGCCTCTATCTTACCTCTTATGTAGTTTCATTTAAGCAAGATAATTGAAAAAACATAGATCGATTATATTATATCTTTCTTAAATGAGACTACATAAGAGGTAAGATAGAGCTGGATAGTATTCTTGTCTTGGTGTTAACTTGAGAATTTCACAAGAATGAGTCCCAGCTCTGATGGTGCCCATCATATGATGAACAAAAGATCAATCCGTTTTCACCTGAAAAGAGGGAGGACCTCTTTGGGGTCTAAAATATAAAAGGCCAAACGGCTGCAGTACAACATGATTCAACCATTCTCTTCTGGTGAGATCGACCTTCGGATCCCTTCTTCATAGACTTTCGTGCCAAATGAAGGGCTAAACAATAAGAGTAAATGACAAAAGATATGGTAATGGGAGGTATTTATGTGCAAGATCACAAACCTTTTGGTGGGAACAGATATCATCTACTGGAGGTTGTAAATTGACAGCCAGAGGATAATGTGAATCCGGAATGGACAGTGATGGCTCTACCGGAATACCTGCCACGTGCTCTGGCCAGGAGGTAGGCAAGACGTGTAGAGGAGAGGAGAGACTGGCGACGGGGGGTACAAAAGAAGTTACTTTTTGGGTCCGTCTTTCCTCGGCTAGACTACAGCAGCTCTTCCGCGGCTCAGATTTACTCCAAGATTGTGATGAAGAACCCCCAGCAGTCGAATCTACTCCATATTGAATTTCAATCATCTGGCTAGGTTTAGATGAAGTTGAAGGAGAATGAAATGATGGCAACCGAGGAGGCGATTGCTGATCTTCATGCCCAGACAATGAAGTTTCCTTTGCCGAGGTGGCCAATTCTCCAGTTGAAGCAGTCGCCACAGCAACAGCAGCAGCCGCAGCAGCCGCTGCTACTAGTTCAGTTCCCTCTACGAAGTAGTGATGATGGTGGTGGTGATGATGATGGTGTTCATGTCGTTCACGACGCTTCTGGTGTGAAAGCTGGACGTGCTCGTTGTGCGCTTCAGTAACGGGTTTTAGCTTCCCTGGAGAGCCAAGAGGCGGTGAAATTGCGCAGCCAGGATAATAAGGAGTCCGACTGACACCGAGCTCCTCCAGTCTCTCCTCCTCTTCCTTCTCATCTTTTGAACCCACTTCTGCGCCCATACGATTGTCGTTTTGGCCAATCCGCAAACGTGAGACTTCAGGGCTATATGGCTTGGTGTCTAAAGCCTGCGCCTCAACGACGCCAGTCTGGCGTAGACAGCAAAATACATCCAGGCGTCGATAGTGCCTACGTTTAGCGTCCAAATGTAGCAAAGCTGGCAGGACCAGTATGATGGCGAGGTATTCGACTAGGGTCAAAATTCCCGCCTTGGCGAGAGGAAACAATAAGGAAGGTAGTGAAAGGCAATAAAGAGATGACAAGTTAGCGTAAATAGCAGTGCAATGGACAACAACGAATAATGATACAAAGTGGGCATTCTAAACATTGGCATATTACAGTGTTGTTGTTGGATTCTGAAAGATATTATGCAATTATACAAGAAGTAAATATCAAGAGGTTAAATATACAGGAGGCACAAATGTACCGTCTCGTTAACGCCAGAGTTTCACATCAAATCATGACTGCAGGACTGCCTTTTATTCTCCCAAATGACTTTCCGTCTCAGAGCTAAAGTTAAACAAATAAGGACCACCTATCTCTATCAATTCTCCCATCATGTAATGGCGCTCATAACCTAAAAGAGTGAACCATATAAGGCAGTTTTGATTACATGAGGAAGAGATCAATGATACTGAATAAAGTGATTCCGATAATATGATTAAGATTAAGAGGAGTGTAATTATGTACACGTATAAAAATATTTTTGGGTAGCGAATAGGGTTGACTTCAAAAGCCCTTCATATCCGTGCAATATCAGATCCAAAAATCACCAAATAAAAGGAATCTGCATAGAATTGGTACCAAGTATGGTAGAAAATTAGATGATGCAGGGAGCGTGTGCGAGACATTAGGCTTCAGGATTGCAAAATTAAATCATTTTTCGTTTATAAGAAGGTTTCCGAGACCTTATTTCGTTAATGTGAGGAAGGACTGACAGATGAATTTTCTCAAAATGATATCAGTAGGCCTTAAATTTCCATTGAATTGCCTAAAGTGGTCGTTAATCACCATAACGAAATAGGGTGAATACATCTCACATGATCTAATGGTAATTCCTAAAACCTACTCATAAAATAATAATAGGTAAAGTAGTCGATTGCTATAGCCGTAACAAATTTGTTTCATCGACAATCCCACCACATAATGTGATATACGAAAAGGTCTGGTCTTTCTTGAAATTCATATCTGGTTGAGTGTCGAGATTATAACCTTCACTACCAGGATTTGAGTCCTGCTGGGAAAGCTGATGAGACCAGCTCAGGCGAGGTCGAAACTGCCGTCCAGTCCAGTCAGGATGGGAACTCCCTTTGGGAAAGCAAGGCAATGTGAAATTCAATTAAAACGTAAGGTCTACTCACATTATTGTTGGAAAATTAACCACCAGTCCTCCATAACCTTAACTAAATATGGTAAATACATATATAAATCAAATCGTATTTTCGGCACGCCTTCAGAAATGTTTAAGGGTCCATGTGGTAATTATAAATGGAAATAACTCCATTAAAGCCTATTCTGAGGTATGCCATCTTAGTCGCATCAGGACTCAAGCATCAAAGATCAGTCAGGTTATGGGAACAGAGCTAATCCAACACCTGGGCCTCTAAAGCACAAGAAATTAACTAGGGTCCTAGACTGAAGGATGCTAAACGGCAGACCCCATCGTTCCTCGACGAAACAGTATTTGTGCCAATCACCAAATGGAAAACATTTGTAAAGGTTATGATGCCTTTGTCGCTCCGACAGCTCCTTTCTATCCAATATCTTACAATTCCTCTTTCACACACACACTCTTTTTCTTGCATCACATTAAATATGTATTATCCCAAAATTTGTTTGAAGAACTTCAAAAGAGTTAACTTTCCGTAAATTTTCAAAGCTACTTTTGTGATAATCTTAAAAAATTTTAAGCAGTAAAGAAAGACCGATTGAAAAATTAAGCTACAATTACCTGATTTAATTATATTTCCAGAAATTTCTCGATAAAACTTGATCTCTGCACCCATGTCATGTGAATGTCTTAGGATAGGCAATCTTAATTTTCTCTAAAAATTGTCGTTGCGCCATATAAGAATAATTTAAAGATCATATAAATCCTAGATTGATAATAACATTAATATAACAGCCTAAGGAAATAATATTATAATATTTTATAGACAACCCCGAAGGAGTTTGCAATACTAAAGTAGAATAGCTTGAGTCTCAAGCACTACTTACCATGTATAGAAAAATTGCAAAATAAATAAGATGTCTTGAGGGTCAGTCCGTAATGTAGACTAATTTATTACAAATAGATCCATTGATAATAAAAATAAAAAGTTTTAGGGAAGCTCCAATTAGTTCTGGTTTTGCATGAATGAAATGTCAGTCGCTGCTCCCTGATAAAGTCTAGATTGAACTCAAAGCTTTCAAAAGAATATCACTATTACTTAAATAACGATTATTTCAGTCTAGGCTCAAGATAGTATATATTTACATGTAGGCATTCAGCTGTATGAAAAAATAACTTTCTCCACTAGTGGAATATGTTTACCGCGAAACATTTCACCTTAGTGAAGTATATGGGGAAGGAAGGAAGGAGAGGCAATATAGGCTAGCCTCTCCTTTCCCCCTAAAATAGATGGAATTTATGATGAAATGAGCAATGAAACTAAGATAATTGAAATGTGGTTTTCATAGTGATGATAATTTTTAGTTATTAGATTTGTGTAGAAG